CACTGCTAGAAGTACCTTCCCCACGTGCGCCATATGGCACAAAAGTGGAGCGGTTTCCCTGGGGATATCCAGTGGCCCTAGCAGTAGCTATGGGTATAAATGCAGCACTGCTAGAAGTAACTTCCCCACGTGCGCCATATGGCACAAAAATGTAGCGGTTTCCCTGGGGATATCCAGTGGTGCTTCTCATGGAAGATATTCCAGAGCACATGAATGACTGAGTGCCACTGGTTCCCTGAACACTGGGGGCTCCTTTCTGGGACTTTTGCTTAGCTTCCTTCTTGGCATTATTCTGACGGATTCGAAGGGAATGTCTTGTAGCCACCAGCTTCTTTTTCTTCATCGCTGGTCCACCAGCTGCTTCCAGAGTGGTATTTCGGAAGTATCCTTTCTTCTGGATCTTCTCCAGGAGGTGAGGCTTGTCTCTCTGAAAGTTGGAGTGCTGGTAGACCTGAAACAGAATAAACATTTCAGCCATTGTGGAAAAGAATGTTCATTTTTTCCTCCTATCCCTAAGTCATATGGGTTTTGTTTCACAATGGAGAATGGAATGTTGTTAAGTTGCTAGTGGTGTCATTATGACCTACAGCATGAGGTCACTAAAGACAAACTATTCACAGCTTAATGTGGTCATATATATACAGTGGAGATAGATAGATAGATTGATAGATAGATAGATAGATAACATTAACTGGCCTCTCTGAGTCTTTTCTCAGACCTGCAGGTTAGCAGTGTTATAGTTTAATAACAACATAAGTTATCTTCGGAGCCAGAACTCCTGCACTATGTCATTTGTCTTGGTGTCCTACAGAGATGTCTGAGTAACAGAAAATGGGTAATAGGGACACTTTCTACATTACCATCATTTTCTTCTCTCCTTGAGATGGAACCGAGGAGTTGTTAGACCGTATTTTTCTGAACCCATAGAGGTTAAGTTGACGAATAAAACTCTTCAAGCTGTCTGTTTCAAATATCTTCTCTGTGCCTCTCCGGCGAAGAATCTCTCTCTGGAAAAGGTCCTCCTCAATGACCATGGTGTCTCCTTTATCACTCCAGTTCACAGACTTGAACACTTTGTTCTCCACTATCATCCAAAGCTTTTGGGGGAAGGAGAGGCCTGAGAAGTTAATGTTGTCTGTCACGTCAGCTACATTTTCATTTTGGTCTTCTGATTGCACGTTATCTTGGGAGCCTTGGTTTTGGCTCGCATCTTCATCACTGTGTTTGACCATATCTTCATCACGGTGCTTGTTTGCGTCTTCATCAAGGCGCTTGTCCGTGTCTTCATCATGGCGCTTATCCGCGTCTTCATCACGGCACTTGTCCGCATCTTCATCATGGCGCTTGTCTGCGTCTTCATCATGGCGCTTGTCCACGTCGTTGTCACCATGCTTCTCCGCATCTTCATCGCCGTGCTTCTCTGCCTCTTGGTCACCGTGCTTACCCGCATCTTGGTCACGGTGCTTCTCCACATCTTCGTCACCGTGCTTGTCTCCGTCTTCCTCACGGTGCTCGTCCATGTCCTCCTTTGACTCCACCTCGGGATCAGTTGAAGTATCAGGTGGGACCCAGTTTTCTGGCTCTCCACCAATAGTTGGGGCCTGCATATCTTCGCATTTGTCTTCCATGTTCTGACTAGCCATGGGGCTACGCCAGCATCAGGAGCATTCTCTAACCAAGACTGTTACCGCTATCCTAGCAAGTCAGAAATGGCTCTGGACTGAGTCTGAGCGTCCAATATATGCCATCCATGAAATTCTAGAGTCCCGGTATCAGGGCAACCAGCTGCTTAAGTCATCATCCTCTTTATTTGTCGTGTGATGTCACAAAGATGGCTCACAGCCAATCAGAAAAGGGGGTCCTGGCCAAGTATGGGGGAAGAGACAGATAAAAGGGCCCCAAATTCTCTCTTTTCTTAAAGTATATAAAATTATGGTTCCATTTCCCACAAAAGCCTCCCATCTGGTGACAGGCTCAGTGTTCTGTACTGCCAGGATGAGTTGAGAAACCACAATCCCATCATTAATCCCATGCCTTAAAATGTGCGGGGAGACTGTTCCTGGTGTCTCTGATTTGCTCAACAGCCAGACTGGGGACTGTTTCTCCTAGAAGATGGTGCTCTGTATTGGGCTGGTTTTCCTAGTCTCAGTTGGTATCACCCTTCTCCCCCCTCCCACCCCCCGCCCTTCTGCCTTGGACTCTACCAACTATTCATAATGGGTAACTGCTTGTTCTAGTCTCAGTTGGTATCACCCTTTGTTCCCCTCCCTGTGCCTTGGACTCTATCTAATGGGTGAGTGGTTTAGACTCAGTTGGTATCCCCCTTCTTTCTACTGCCTTGGATCCTACCAACTACTCCTAATGGGTGATTGGTTATCCTAGTCTCAGTTGGTATCACCCTTCTCCACGCCCCCCCCCC